ACAATGGGATCCTCTTTCATATTCCAAAGGCTGATCCGGATCTGATCCAGAAGACTTTTATCACAATTTATATAAAAATGGGGGTAGTCCTTGGCGGAGGTCTGCGCTCTCTGAGTGCTTTTCTAGTTATTTCTGTCATGAATTCATTATCATAGAGCTATTACTTATTAAGAAGAAGTCATCTGTATTAGTAACTGGATCTCTACTGGCAACAGCAAAATCTGAGCTGTCGTGGCCATTGTAATGATACCAGTGTAATATGGTAAGCCTACAGAAATATGAATAAAACCAGACTTACAACAGATCTTGATTTTAAATAGGTTACATGTATTACCACATTTATCAAAATATTTTGGATTAATTGGAAGTAAATATTTTAAGTTTAAATTTGCTTTTGATCAGTACAGAAGCAAAATACATTTACTTAAAGTCAACATATCAGTTTCTGCACATGGATATCCCAAATGTAACAATTTGAAAAAACAGTGACCATTTTCACATTTTAAGTTAAATGTTAATTACACATTTATCATTTTTAAAGTATGATTTACATTACAGCTTGTTTTTCTTAAAAATCTATTATAATTCAATGTAAAACTAACAATTTCTTCTAAAAACAACAACAACAACAAAAAACATGATTTACTTTGACAAGATCTTTGTATTGGGTGCTTCACTGACAGCACTTTATTAACTTATTTCCCCTTCCTGTTACACATGATGTGGCCAAACCAACAGTGACAATGCCACAAACTGTCAGCTCTGTTAGCCAATAGGAACAGGACAGCATGATGAAGAGGAGCTCCACACAACTATCATTGTAATATTATTTATACATGGTTTACAGATAAAATACCACAGCCCTATCTTAAGTTCACAATGACACAGCCTTCGGCCTGTGTTTTGACAGAATCTAATTCAAAGCAAAGCAAATAGTAGGCCTAAGTAAACATTGATAATGTTTCATATTCATGGCACACCATGCAGACAGAAATGGAAAACACATGTTACATTGTAATGTAATCTAATACAGACTGTGTTACATTCAAAAGATGTTTTTATGTTCAGTTCAAGTAGCCTTAATCATTGATTTTCCAGCTTCCTTATTTGGCTCATCCAGTTTTTGACTCATCCAGTTTTCCAGAACCAACAAGACTGACATTTTGTCAAGGTCCCTACTGCACCTTGATTCTGCTGAAGGCTGATGTCCTTCTAAGTTTAATCATTCAAAAATCTTTTGAAAATGACTTTAACCCTTACATACTGTTTGGGTCAAATGTGACCCGTTTTGACATTCAACAGTAGAAAAAATACCCTAAACATCATTCTTTTATCCTGAAATTTGATGACTTTTCCTAAATTTTTCCAAAATACACAAAAATGAAAATATTTAAAAATGTTATACTTTTGTACAGGTGCTACAAATTTTGCGACACTGAGGCTGTTTCAGGTCAATTTTGACCCATATCTATTAAGATGGATTTTAGCTCTATCAGTGCAGTTCAAATGAAGCAAAATGGAAGTTTTAGGGAAACTTGAAACTGTGAAACTGCACACACCATGTTTGTGTGTATTTTTTTTATGGCACAGTAGTGACAGAGTTCAAGAGTTCACTGTTTTGAGATTTCCCCATGCCCCAGGTTCCCATATACAGACAACTTAGTTTTTGAAAGGGTAAAGGAGAATCTCAAAACAGTGAAAGGAGTGATCATCCTGTTTATGGAGCACATAAGCAACACAAGTCAGTCAAGTGGGAGAGAGATCTTTTCTTCTGAGTTTGAGTAAGTTCACCCAGGACACCACAGTTGTCTCGTACATGTAAAAGAAGAACAAGAATGTCGTCCTTATGAGCACATTACATATAATAATATGGCTGCAGAGGTGAACTCCTGGGAGCCTCATCATCATCATCAGCCATCATCCTTGACTACAATGCCAACAAAGGAGGACTGGGAAACCTTGACAAAGTAACAGGCACAGCTGCAAGAGCCGAACCTCCCGCTGGCCTGCTTTGCTGGCCCGCTTTGTCTATGGAGTGAGCTGAACCCGACCTGGAGGGTAAGCAGGAGGAACTGGAGGAACTGGAGGAACTGGAGGAACTGGAGGAACTGGAGGAACTGGAGGAGGAGCAAAGGTGACACCAGCTTCCCCACACAGCAGCTTCAGAAGCATTGGTGAGGCGAGTGCAGTGATCTGAACCTGGTCCTGATCAAGAAGTCACACCAGAACCAACACAAGGGCACAGAAGAGAAGGAGATACAACTTTAGCCCTGCAAAGAAGGATTGCAAAACAGCTACAACCTGCTGCAAATGTGGGAAACACAGATGAAAGTCACACACACGCAAAGTTTCCTACCACTGCTTTGAATGCACTGACTAGTTTGAAATAAACATAATGGCTGCAGTGGATAAGCATGGATATATTATAAATTCCAACAGTTCCAGAATATTCATGTCATTTTCAAATGCAATAATATATATACAAATCATAATGGCTTTTATGTTTTTAGGTGTTTTGTAAAACAGGACTATGATACTTGTGATAGTCGATGTTTTTCTCCAAAAACGAGTGTTGTAAAACTTAAAAAAATATGCTCTTCCTGCTCCCAGAAACATTATATTTATATATTACAGATATTTATTAATGTGGGATAGTCTATTTAGTCATTTTAAATAGATCTATAGTTCAAAATTTGGTTTAGACACTTACTATGAGGGAATTCTTGGTCTGGGTCAAATTTGACCCGAACCATACTGTGAAGGCTTCAGAAATGAACAGTATGTAAGGGTTAAATCTTTTAGTTGAACTCCTTTAGGCAAATTCATGGTGACTTCTGTAGTGAAGTCACGTAACCATATATCCCTCTTCTCAAATAAGTTACATCTAATAAAATGCACAAGTAGGCTAATTCAAGGTGTAGTGGTCTTATCGCATCTGAATACAGAACATATGTTTATAAGCAATGTCAATCCATTACGTGTGAATAGCTTTGTTTTATTTTTCAGTTTAAATCTCTATAATCGTGATGTTTATTTCTTGAGTGCAGTCTGCTCTCTGTGGCTGGAGCATAAATGCGGAGGAGGCAGTTGCGCTTTTCACTTCCAGGTGCCGCGCGCTCTGGTCCAGTCACATTTCAACACGAACTGCTTTGGGCCTGATAAATGCGCATGCGCACCACGGCTGACCTCCGGTTTCTGCGTGCACTGCCACGTTAGTAGCGGTAGACACAAAATACCAGCTACTCTCTCAGCCTTAAGCAACAAAAAGACCATAACCTGCACCTCTTCTGCCGCTTGTAGTCCCTCCCTGCACGGTCCCGCTGCTCCTGTGTCTCTGTTCGTAAGAAACTCGGCGCTAAAATGTGGAAGTTTGTCTTGCTGTGCGCTCTGGCTGTAGCCCGAGCTGAGATAACTGAGGAGGAAGATGTTCTGGTGCTGAAGAAAAGTAACTTTGACGAGGCCCTAAAAGCTCATCCAAACATCCTCGTTGAATTCTGTGAGTATTTTTTACCAATAAAATTATGTAGATCTTGCCTACGGTTTCTCTAGTTTTCCTAGCGTTGAAGATAGTCGCTGATGTAGCTTCATGTTAGCACGAAACTTTGACACAAGTTGCCGCTCCTATGGCAAATCTATCCCTACTCCGTCCGCTCAGGCATAATTTCCATATCTTTAAGTAATACCAACTACTCTAGATGACATAAAAACAAGTACTTTTAAATAACAAATGAGCTACCCTGTGCAAGCATCTCCCGGTGATAAGATCATAATTTATTTCCATGGCCTTTCCCTCTCCTTTAAAATGGACTCCGCTGCGTTTACTCCAAATGCGTCGTCGCCAATGAACCGTGGCCTGAAGTTCATTCATTTCGAGTTAAGGATCGCTTTGATCACGTTATCAACACACTTTATATGCCCCCTAACCATTTTTACTGACCTGCTCACTAGTCTGTCTTTTTGATCAGACCAAACAGTCTTAATACCCAAAGTAATTTTTGTTATCAAATTGGCCATTGTCTGCAGTGTTTGGTTCTCGTAGTACTATGAAAAAGTGTTGTGATTTTTATGCATGATTTGTTTTGCTTTCTATGAAGTTTCAATTCAGTTTCATAAGGCCTACTACTTTCGCGTTTGGAACACTTTGGAGATACTTGTGCGCACGGCTTGGAAAACTCAATTTCTGATTAACTGCATTTAGTATTTTTTGCCAGAAGTCATGCATTTTTACTTAACTTGCGTCTGCATTTTGGGATCCCAAGCCCCGCTAGTTGACTCGCAGTGATTGTCAAGCCTATAGCCCAGTGAGGAATAACTGGAGTCTTGTCTGTCCAATAGGCTCAGATTTGGGAGGGCCCGTGGGCTCTGGGCGTGTTCGCGTTGTTCAGAGTTGGGCGGGATCACTGAGCAGTTGTGGAGTAGGTTGACGTGTACTTAGGCCACTATTCCAAACTTGCAAAAGTTTATCTTTTTTTTTTTTTTTTTTTTTTTACTTGAAGAGACAAGGAAGTTTTTCTCTATTGTGATGCAATCTTTCAACGTACGAGACGTGTCACTTGTATGCACTGTCTGTATTAGTCATGTGCCTCCATTTTAAATAAACTAATGGGTCCCATGTCTTCTAAATTATCATCAAGTCTGGAGTGTTGCTCAGCTACACAGTACTTGCAATTTAATATTTTCTTTTCTATTAGACCTATATTAGCAGGCTACATATTGGACAATACTCTGCTATCTTAATTGTTCAAAATTACAATTACAAAGCTGTAGTTATTTATCAGCCATTTCAGCTATTTAAAAAAAAAATCAAATTTCAAACTACCATTTCACAGAGAAATATTTATCATTTTTACAATACAAGACAATAATATAATTTTAGTCGACTGTCACTTAACAACTAATTTTCTTCCATAGACGCTCCATGGTGTGGTCACTGCAAGGCCTTGGCCCCAGAGTACGCCAAGGCGGCCGGGATGCTGAAGGCAGAGGGCTCAGAAATCCGCTTGGGCAAAGTCGATGCCACAGAAGAGACAGAACTGGCTCAGGAGTATGGTGTGAGGGGCTATCCCACCATCAAGTTCTTCAAGGGAGGAGAGAAATCTTCACCCAAAGAGTATTCTGGTGAGTGCTAAATTAATTTATGTGAACTCTCATTAAACACGTAATCTTCTTTCGTTTTGATAATTAGGGATTTCTTACGTCTCAGATGTCTTTGGTCCCCTCTTTAGTGGTTTGCTGCTAGTTACCTCTCATCTTGTATCAGTCAGTGGTTTATATAAATATAGATGTAGATATAGTGACTTCTGTAGAGTTACTACTACTACTACTAGTACTGACAGTACTAGAAGCTTGAAGTATTAGACAGTATCACATGACTATTTTTTGTTTAGCTTCTTTTTAGTAAATTAAGTAAATTACTCTATGCGGGGGCCTCCATAGCCTCCTGGGAAGCATTATCAGTTATAACATGCATATAAAGGTAATAAATCACCACATAATTCCTAGTAACATGGGAATATTGTAAAGGCCTTTTTATATAAATACTACTGTAAGTATTATTTAAAAAAAAAAAAAAATGTATTTGACTGCAAGGTCAACATGTCATCAACTTGAATCAAGCTTTTACTATCCTCTTTACTCCAAAGACCTTTTTTGACAACCTGATGTAACAGTGAGTAAGCTCTCCTATTGCTAACACATAGGAATACAGCATAGACAGCTTCTCCTACTCATAGCCTGACTAGTCCCAGTAATTTGAGCTATCACAGCTTGGCCAATCAGATTTATGCAAGTCTTAAAATGGGCGGGGCAGTGTGGGCACGTTCCCCTCATGCTGCTTACAGTGTGGAGCAGAGATGTGCAAGTCTTCACGTCGTCCCGGCTGTGGTGGGAAAAGGGGAGGGCTGAAGTGGAGGCAACAGAAGTGCTACTTTTGCTCTTGGGCATTGTTGATGAATATGTAAGGCAACACTTAACAAAGTAGCTGTTTTCAAAGTTGCTGTCCATTCATTAAACTTCTATAATGTGTAATCAAGGGCTGGGTGATTTAAAAGAAAAAAAATGTTTTTATATTTTTGGCCTTATGTTGGTCAATCAGTTCCGAGGTCCCCCTCGAAACGAGATGGCGAGACATCTCAAGGGGCTTATCCTCCAAATAAATCAATTCAAATATCACTTTTTTAAAAAATTTTTTGACTCATTAAAAACAATGTCTTTCAGTATTTATTATTATTTTTAACATGAACAAAACAGACTTTAATCAGTGCTGCTTAACAGGAAAATGGTACAATTTATCCCTCCCAAAGTTTGAACTTCAAACGCATGGTTTTACTGACAGTGAACTGGCTGTAGACCTCACAATTGAAATGATTGTGTAATCACAACTGATTACTTCTTAATTTCCAAATGAAGAAGCTACCTTCTTATAATGAAATGGATTTCTTGCCTACTGTTTTATCATTTTAAGTTTTGTCTTGAGTGTTAAGGTAAAGATTTATTACTGTAGTAACTAAAGAGTTTTATCTTGGAATAATTTTATGGTTTTGCTGTATTGATTTTGTTACAAGTCGTCCTACAGTTTTTTGTTTTTTTTTTATATACTCATTTGTAGTATAGATGAACCCAATAAAGGATCTGATCTGATTTCTTTCTTGTATTAAATGACTCTTCCATCAGACTGATTGTATTGTTCCTTGCAGCGGGCAGACAGGCTGATGACATTGTGAACTGGCTGAAGAAGCGCACAGGGCCCTCTGTTGCCCCACTGGATGGAGTCAGTGGAGCAGAGTCTCTCATCGCTGACAATGAAGTTGCAGTCATTGGGTTCTTTAAAGTAAGATTTTGGTTTTGTTTTCTTATTGTACTATTTTTTTTTTTCTACTTACAAATAACAGAAGTATAACTCTGTTTGACCGTATGGACTGATTTGTTGGCATAATGTGATAATTGATTCAGATATGGACACATACAGTACTGTATAATACTGGTTATGCAAATTGCCCCCAATAGAATGTTTTGAATTACAGCTCAATTAGGGAAGAAATTTGTACAACTCATAGAGCTTTTAAAGTTAGCCCAATAATAAATTATTTATTTATTTATTTTTTTGTTTGTGTTAATCTATTCCCCATCCTCCCTCTCCTCACCTTTGCTCAGGCTTACCTGTGCTCTCTGGTTGTCTTCTGTCAGGCCAAAGTTAGGCCACTATCAGACCACAGCAACACAGATATCATCTAGTGGGTTTATGTGAGAATGCAAAATGGCCGAGTTGGCTAGTCTATTTACAGATGGAAGCTTTAATATTCCTTATTAAATTGTCCGCATTACCTTATTTGATTTTTATTTTTGTAGGATCCAAAGTCTGCTGATGCCCAAGCCTTTGAGAAGGCAGCAGAGGCCATTGATGACATCCCCTTCGCTTCCACTTCTGATGATGCTGTTTACTCAAAGTTTGAAGTGAGCCAGGATGGTGTTGTCCTGTTCAAGAAGGTAGGAGTAGTACGTGTACCTTCTCGTAGTATCCAAGTACAGTATTTAAAGCTGGTACAATAATTACAGTGTTTATTATTAGCTACTGAAGTCATACTGTTGATTTGAATCTTTGTAATGTGATGCTGTTGACCGAACAGTGTCCGCAGGCTATGCTATTCTTAGCTTGTCTGGGGTGTCCTAAAACGTGTATGAAGTTGGCTCAGAGGATACACACGAATGACTTGCACATGTTGACTTAATTTAGGCAGCAGTAGTAAGTGCAAGACTAATTGCAAAATATATTCATTTATTTGAAGTTGCATATTTTACACATTTATGGTTACTTTATCCATTTGCATTTGTGATAGTAACAAAAAGAATAGAGGTAAATGAGGTACATGTTAAAGCTGATGTTTTGTGAGGTAAGTCATCTTGTCCAGGTTATTTTATTGTCAATTGAGTAGCAGGGAAGATGAATTTTATTTAACTTGTGGTGGTAGATATCATATTGGTGATACTTGAATCTCAACATTTATATGCCATTTGGCAGATTTCAGATTTCAAAATTCAAAACTGATGGCAGTTATGGGTGTAATCCTAAAAATATCAAAATGGTTATTTTTATGTTTTGTCCCTTCAAGAGCATCCAAAATTTGTCACCTGCCTTTAAAGTATGCGTAAAGCCTTGTGACTCGCCTACCTGCTTTTTCTCTCATCTCATTAAAATACAAGGATTTGGTGTGTATCGGTTTTCTCATCTGTAATCAGAATATGCAAGCAAACCTGTTGCTTCAAGCCAGATCAAAGGTTTCTTTTATTGTTAGAGAAATGAGCATCATGGTTGAACTTATGTGTTGCGCCATTTTCACAACACAAGTTTTCTGTCAGTACAAATTGGGCAAGCAGGTAATGAGAGGCCCCTGTTATGTTACAAGAGAGAAATTTTACTTGGTTTCAGTGCAAACTATCACAATTTCATGGCTACCAAAATGATTAAGTTATTATCAATAGTTCAGTCTTCTCTCAAATGTTTATGCCCCTGGACCTACTCCTAAATAATTTTTATTTGTCAGTCATAAATATTTGCAATACTTATTTTCAGGGCTAGTGTGTGGGAAGTGCTTTTGCATACTCCTATTTTTACAAGAAATGCCCTTCAACCCACCCCTAACAATTACTAACCAGTGTTTGTGTTCTGTGAATAGAAACTTAAAAGTGCGCTGTGTAACTTATCTGGGGGTGGGATGTCTGCCAATAATTTTCTCCATGGTGATTGTTTATTTGTTTATTGTTTGCATGCAGTTTTCAGTAGTCTGACCTCTATTCATTATTATTATTTTCATTATCATATTTGCATGTTTTTATTGTTCAATCGTGCCTTGAAAAACATGCATTCTTAGGGTTGCCTCCCCACAGATCTGACCTTTGATTTGGCATGCTAGAGTCCCCTGTCAGTCTCAATGGAGCTAGACACATTTAATGTCATACTGTCCAGATCTGGTAATACTCCAGAGAGACGAGCAGGCCACAGACCCCCCTCCAGAAAAGTTCAAGTGCACCTTTTAGCTTTGTTTTCTGATATTGCTTGTGTGCATCCTCTGTTTTTAAACCTTATTTTTTAATATAACCCCTGATTATAGTAACCTTAGCCTCTGGCATTCATCAGATAAACCCTCTGAAAGTGTTGGCTCACTCTTAATAAACAGCTGGCCTCTTGGACTTGTTTACTGCACCCGGTGTTAAGGGCTCACAGTGCTTGTGAGAGGGTATTGAGCCTCTGGCAAAGATCACTTTTCAATTGTGTGCCAGGAAGTAGCTATTCTTAAAAAAAGCATCCCTGTCCACATGTCAACAGGGCAATGAGAGCAGTAAAAATAAATTTATCTATGGTAAATCTATGTACGATGTTTACAGGCAGATTATACAGGCAGACACACAACAGCTGACTGGATAATTAGATCTGGTTTGTTTCCATGTTGTTTCCAGTTCGATGAGGGACGCAATACTTTTGATGGAGAGCTGACTAAAGAAAACCTCTTGGCTTTTGTCAAGGCCAACCAGCTGCCCCTGGTCATCGAGTTCACAGAGCAGGTACTGTAATGTTTTTCACAATTTTTCAGCATGATTTAATAAAATGTATACACTGTTCTCACTGTACCATATTCAGGACTGTATTATGGTACAATTGTACATTTTATTTGTAATCACAGTATGATGTATATCAGTAATTGTTTAGCCTGTAATTGTTTTTGCTTGAATATTAATGCACTTTTAATAATTTTTGTTATGTTAAGCCCTTTTATAGAGCACGGTATATACACAAAGTAGTTCCACTTCATTTGCCTTGCCTACTTATCCAACCTAACTTGGATTCAAAAATGTTTTGCTTATGAACAGTGGGGCCAGCTGTAGCTTAGAAATGAATGTCCATGCATATTGCTTCTGTGTCATTAGGCAAGACACTTCACCCACTTAACTTTCAGTTTCAGTAGCAAAGCAATTTCTATGACTGTGGATTAAAATAACTGTTTTTTGTTCATCTCAGACTGCTCCCAAAATCTTTGGAGGAGACATCAAGTCCCACATCCTCATGTTCCTGCCCAAAGGTTCCTCAGACTTCCAGGTGAAGATGGATGAGTTCAAGAAGGCAGCTGCAGGATTCAAGGGCAAAGTAAGTAAAATTTTACACATTTTTTTTAAAATTTCATTCATAAAATACAAAAGGCATCAACACTGTCATAAAATGAAACATGGAAAAAAATAAAAAGGAGCAGAAAGGAGAGCCTGCATCAAAAGAGAAAAAAAAAATCTCTACTGAAACTACATACTCATTCGAGCAGGTATCAAACTTTGCTCCACTGATTTTCTGTATGGATTTGGAATGGACTTGATGTTTATCAGAACTAGTAAAGACCACACATTAATATTAAATAGATGGAACTATTATACTGTTTGTGATGAAAATTATATTGTTTTGAAGGGGAATTTTAAATTATTCTGACACTGATTATGCCTTGGTATTGAAATTGAGTTTTCAATTGTACTATTGGGTCTATACATTTTAATATTGACCTTTTCCTGCAGATCCTGTTCATCTTTATCGACAGTGATGTAGATGATAACCAGAGGATCCTGGAGTTTTTCGGTCTGAAGAAAGAAGAGTGTCCTGCCATCCGCCTCATTACCCTGGAGGACGAGATGACAAAGTACAAGCCTGAGAGTGATGCCATCACAGCAGAAGGCATTACGGAGTTTTGCACACTGTTCACTGAGGGAAAACTCAAGGTAAAGCATCTACTGGGCATACTTTATTTTTAAGCAAATTAACCAAGAAATTGGTTTAGTTTAGTCTTTTCAAGATGTGTGAACTCATGCTTGGTTTGAGCTCGTTCAGATGTGGTGTATGAGTAAGTCTGAATGCACCCTTGATCACAAATATTGAAGTTTTACTATGTCCTTACCTTTTTTTTTTTAAACCTCAACTTGCAATGGAATTACTTGGATACTACTACAGAACAATATTGTATTTCCACTAGAGAAGTTTTACAGAAATTTGTTATGGAACAATGACGGCTATGGATGGTTTAAAATGCACTATAAATGGTGTGCTATAAAGGAAAACTTCTCAAAACTGAATTTAAGACACAATTGAAAAAATTTTAAACGTTTGTGCTAGAATTGATTGTAATTTTCACTGTAGGATTGTTCATACAGTAAATGTTTCTATATTCATAGCCTCACCTCATGAGCCAAGACATACCTGACGATTGGGACAAGAACCCTGTCAAAGTCCTGGTTGGGAAGAACTTTGAGGAAGTTGCCTTCAACCCATCCAAGAATGTCTTTGTTGAATTCTGTAAGGATCAATTTATAATCTTTGTTTAGTATTCTAAATCCGTAATATACCTAAAATTGACCTGGAAATATTGTTATCAAGCCAGTGTAAATGATAAGCCTTTCAATCCTGGCATAGATCTCACATTTGATCTCATCCAACTTTACCAAATTATTTTAGACACTGTTAAATGATCTGTTGAATGATCTGGTCGAGTATAGCTCCTGGATTTTGTTTATGGTGATCCACATCTAAATGTGAACTATATTTGGAGGAATTTTCCATGGCTGCTGTATAAATGTAGTCTATAGTGAAGGGGGCATATACAGTGGGGTAAGTCCTGGGGAGTTTTCACAAATCTCAAAAGGGATCAGGCCAACTGTACTGTGCACGTGCAAGCCCCACCAGTGTACTGCTGCCAGACTATACATGACAGGGCAAAAGTATAGAAGATTAATACAAATGGTATTTTAGGGTAAGTCTGTGTTTTAAAAAAGCATATATAGACAATTGAATTGATAATATATTTTAAAAGCATTGACCTCAGTCAAGGCCCTTGCTCTAACTAACTCTTTTAAAAAACTGTGACCCCAACTCAAGATCAAATGTCAGATTTTATAGTTTGTGCCCATATAAATGTTGGTATTGTCCAGTGTTTGTTATTCAGTCATATGTCCTTAGCCGCTTTACTCACCAGTGTGTAAAAAATTCTTATCCATGACTAACTTTTTTCCTATCTCCGATATTTATTTTAAACATTCAAGATACAATATTATTTGTAGACTAGACTGATGGATAGGGCTGCAACAATTAATTGTAATAATCATGAATAGCCATTAATTGTTCCATTTCTGATGTTCATCAATAATAGAATATATCCAGCTAGACTAGATTTTAGATGCTTTCAGTCTTCTTATTTCAACCTTTTTGTTTGGTTAAAAATGTATTTAAATCTGAATGCATAATAGAAATATCGTTTGACTAGCTGACTTACCCAAAAAAATCACTGAATAGTCATAGTAAATCATAGTTTATTTATCAATTACTGTACTATTTAATGTTATAACACTTTTTCAGATGCCCCTTGGTGCGGACACTGCAAACAGCTGGCCCCTATCTGGGATAAACTGGGAGAGAAATACAAGGACAATGCAGACATCATTGTTGCCAAAATGGATTCCACAGCCAATGAGATTGAGACAGTCAAAGTGCACAGCTTCCCCACTCTCAAATTTTTCCCTGCAGGAGATGACCGCAAGGTGAGCTCCAGAGTTAAACTATGGTCTAAAAAAGAGGTGGGCCATTGAAATATTGATCATGTGAATAGTGTTTTGACAGCAAATTTTGAATATTCAGTTTATGGTTCATAATACATTATGGGATAAAAAATATTTAAAAAAACAAGGTAAACTTCAAAAATAGGATATAAAGTGATATTTCTGAACTTTTGTGGGTAATTTTAAACCTCATCTAATACAGTTAAAGATGAATTTAGACCCATTTCAGCTGTACTGAAATAATATTATCTTATTATGGGGAAACTTGCCACCCCTAGTCTAAAATTGGGACATTGGGCCACAGCTAAAATATAATGGTGACAATTTATGCAAAATTACATCACATCAATTCAATATATGCTTCAAATAAAGTGATGTGCTTTTGTTCTGGCCATATGAAATCAAACTTTCTGAATGATAATGACAAGCTTTGTGCACCATTAATGTCACTTAGTTGAAGAGTGGGAATCTACTCAGCAATAGCAATAGAAGAAAATTTTAATTGTACTCTGGTTTGGTCTCAATTTTAACACTAAAATTTGATATTGTGACATCTCTGATCTATGGGTAAATATTTGACCATTGCTTCATTTTACCGAACCAATAAGCAAGTTTATCTTTAAAGTTGTGAGAAAGTGATCTGTTCTAAAATGAGTTACCCCCAAGTTTCATTAGTACCATGATAGAACACGTGCAGAAACCTAAGCCGCCTTGGCTCTGTGTTACATTCTCTTAATCTTGAATGTTAAATAGATTCCTGCTTGTTGACTTGTCTTGAGTGTTGATTTAGCACCTGTTGAAGCCCTACACTAAACATGGGTTATTGTCGGTTATATATATTGGCCTGATATAAAAACATGTGTTGATCTTTAGCGAATGGGAGAAAACCATTTTAGTGCCAGTCTGTGTATCCATGTGTCATTCCAAGTTTTCCCTCAAATACTTGAGATTTGTCTTTTTGAACAGACTAATTAGGATAATTTGGATAAATCTGACTGTCCCTTTTCACATCACAGATCACCGACACAAAAGAATATTAGTTTTTGTGCATCATTTTTATAGCAATGTCTTAACAATACATCAGGAATTGGCAAAAAACCTGCCCAAAGGTTAGTGTTGCACAAAACCTGAACAATAAAAGGGCAGAAATTTAACTTTATAGCCTTGTTTGGAAAATTGCTCTAGACGTTTTTGTTAATTTTTATTTTAAGTCAGCTTTGCTGTCAAGGTTTTTGCTGTTATTTTTAATCATTTTAAATACGTATACTCCAATATTGTAATTTTGCGTATGTCCAAAACAACAATTGGACCATATTTATGGAGTACCATTGCCAAATCTGGGGATCTGATTTCTGCGTGAAACTTGCTTGATGAAAAGATAGAAAATACATGTTTTTTTTTTTATCTATAAAATGTATTTATGACTTTAATGGCAGATATACTTTTTAATCTTTTTTTTTTTTTTTTTTTTAAATCAGCATAAAAATATAAAAGCAAATAAAATGTATAAAGAGTAGACTGTTGCCTGTCTACCTTGACCCATTTCTGGTAAGTTATTAACCTGCCTTTTTAAAGTGAGTGCCAGGGGTGTATTAAGTCTTTGGCACGTTGACACCTTTGGTCTACAGTTTCTCTCCCCTCACTCACATGTTCATTCTCATAATATCTGAAGTGAAGTGCCTTTCTATTCCAATTTTATTCAAATGCTGATCTCAATTTCTAGCATTTTATATTACTATTCTTTTTTCTTTTCTCTTTTTTTTTTTTTTTTTTTTTAATTGGTGACATACTGTCAAATTTTTGAGCAAGTAATTTGCCCTTAAATTATGCATTTTAAACATACTGTATGTATATTACATTATTTTGTGTACAGGTGGTTGACTACAATGGAGAGAGGACACTAGAGGGCTTCAGTAAGTTCTTGGAAAGTGGAGGTAAAGACGGAGGAGCCCCAACTGCAGATGATGATGAAGATTTGGAAGAGGTAAGATTTGACAAATAATAAAGCCTCCTTATTCAGAATCACAATAGGTTTCATTGCCATTTTAATCGTGATTACAATTATTGCTCAAATCAATTGCAAAAAATGGTTTGTAAAGAGAAAATTGCATTCTGGTGCTTGCTAGTGGTATAATGGTTTCAATCACACTTGTGTAAATAATATAAATTAAAAAATATATAATTATATGGATGCCAGGGCAAATCCACTTGTCTAATCTATAGCTGCTTTTAACTAGATCATGACACTATCAAACTTTTGGGATTGTTATAAGCATATGAGCAGCCCAAAATATTGACTACCATATTCAGCCCTTCTCTGTAGACCTCAATTGTTTGGTTTCACATTTCCTTGCTTACTTTTTTGGGGAAGATGGCATCATGTCTGTTCTTTAAATACCACAGTAACCTTAGGAGTTGCATAGTTGTGGAGATGACTGACATGTGTAAACAAAAACAAGATTTTAATGAGCTTTTGTGGGAAATCTTGCCATACCAACGACTTCATCACCAACCAGAAGTCCAATATGCAGTAGAGTATGGCCTCCCACCCTTGGCTTAAATTAAATTGATTTAAAGGTATTGTCCTATGAAATTACCATAGAACAATATATTTTTTTAGTTAGTCTTCAAGATCTACTTTAGTCACACTTCAAAATCTGCATATTGACATTATATATCTTATACATAGCTCAATTTCAAACTATAGTATGTTATAAAATAACACCGGTCAAAGAGCAATAGAAAACTATGAGTAGGATAATGATGAGCATGATGTTCTCAAATTTGCAATGCAATTGCTGCAATGAGAAACTTATGATGTAAAAAAATATAATTTTGAAACATGAAATGCACTGGATTCTTCATTGCTATTGTGTTGCATATTCAATATTTCCGATGTTAATGCAAAACAGAGTTTAATTCAAAAACATTATTTCACAAATCTATTCTAATTTCTTTTCAGAAAAATCACAATTGAAATTTTTATTAAAGTGGTAATCCTAAAGATTTACTATGGCTTATATTCACTAACACCTTTTCCCTCCATTGGCTTACTGTATACGCCCCTTTCCCAGAATACCTTTGGGCTGCCCTCCACTCTCCTCTCTAATGCCTTGTGCAGCTGTCAGCGGTGTTTACTGGGCTTTACACTGAGACCGGAGCACCGTTAAGAGCCACACGTGCAGAATTTCCCTCAACAGTAGCAGCCTGCTTCCTCTGCACCCTCAGCTGTCTGAGGGCAAGACTTAAAGCTATTGTTGTGCCAAATATACAGCCATTTGTCAAGTGGTGTATGGATGCTATGCTAATATGACCGCAAAGCTCTTTCTTTATTTTTGAAGGATTTTACAAGCTGACAAATTCACGATCATTTGTTATTCATTAAAGTCCGGAAAATTGCTATAATGGCAAACAAAAATGCAGGGATGTAAAAAGAAGCATGCAAATACCGGTGACAAAAAATGCTAGATATGTGTGGTCTCTTGTCAAATTGACGTAAATTAGAGATTCTGTGTGCATTTAAACTTGCACATACTAACGCAACTTACTGCAGAAAAGAAACTCAAAGCTATAAATAAACCGGTAGGTAAACCGCTTATTCAAAGGTGTGGTACCCAACTTTATTCTTGGAAGTGAGTGAATTGTATTTTTTCTCCCATGGAGATTTTTAAAATGCAGTTCTAAAGTTATGAACACACACAAATTCATGTCATGTAATGTAATAGTTGGATGTGGTTTAAACAGTTCCTCCTCTTCATGTTTGAAATTTGGGTAATGTAGCTTTAATGATTTATCTATTACTAACTGTATTTACAGATGGCCCCTCGAGATTCCATAACAAGTACATTTCTCCACTGAGGGATAAATATACGGTTCTGTTCTCTCCTTAACCGCTTGTTTTGTGCTACAGGATTTGGACGATTTGGGCGAGGGACAAGATGATGACTCTGACGGAGAGGACGATGGACATGACGAGTTGTAAAATAAAAAGCAAAAATCAGGAGAAAGGAGACGTGTCCCACCCGAAACCAGTCACCATCACTACCTTCACTTACTTTGCCCCCTCCCCCCACCCCCATTCCCATTTTCTGTCCCATGAACATATCCCCTTAAGGGCCAGTCAAATGCCAGATAGTCCTTTGCCATGGGACCGCCAGCTGCAACTCTGCTACTGGCCAAAATGGGATGAAGAGGAAAAGTAAAAACTCACCTTTTTTTTTTTTTTTTTTTTACATCTACGTAGGAGACCTCAATGCCTTCTCTACAAAACGCCACATCAGCTGTTTGCCTATATTCAGACCAAATGTAAAAGTGGCATTGCAGTTTATTTATCATCAAAATATATGTCCTTTTCAACCGTGTTTTGAATACGCCTTGTGCCATTGTTCACTGTGGGGCCATGGGCAGAATTGAGTGTAACATAATCCCATCTAATTGTCCAATCTTTTTGTCCTTTTCCCTTTGATTTGAATGCAGAGGACCAGGTTTTGTGGTTGATTTGTAGAGCAATTCCTCAGGGGGACATGGGGATATCCTATTGGTGTGTTTTTGTATTGAATTCAGCACCCTCTGATCCTGTCTAGCATATCACAAAGTCCTTTTCCCCCAATTTGTAACCAAGACCAAGTCATTTTACTTTAGGTTGGGAAGCCTACATTATTTTGTTATTTCATTCCCTTGTCAACTTCCCGATATAGTCTCCTCATTTCGCATTGCTGCTTGCGTTTTGTAAAAAAAAATAGAATGGTTAACTTTTTGGGGTAAATCGTGTTATTTAATTGCTTTCACTGAGGATTTTTATAATTTAGGTTTTGTCATTTTTAATAGTGTTGAAATGTGCCCAGTTCTAGTGCGTTGGCCTTGTTGGGGGCCCTTACACACAATTTTGAAGAGTTCAAACTGAAAACTCTTGATAGGTTGCACTGCATTTATGCCTATTTGGAGATTTACTACTAAACACACAGGCAGACTGGTGCAGATTACTGGTCAGGCTGGTCTGAGAAATGTGTCTATTAATACAAGAAAGGGAGCAGTTGCATTGCCCTATCCCACACTCATGTACGTAAAACATCCCATTTGGCTCTACCTTGTACCTTGTTGCTGCAGTGTGCTATGGGTGCATGTTTGTATTGAGTGAATGGTAACTGTGTGATGAATATACTTTGTGCATTAACAGATGAATGAATGTGTGTACTTGTGTGTTTCTGTATGATGGGAAGGGTCAGCCTCTAGGGGATGGGTATAACAACTGTACAACTGTGTGGGGGAAAAAAAACGCAACTTAAGCATTCCATCATATTCAAATTGATGTGGAAACGTGAAATGGTGGCCAATAAAAATATGAAAAAATTACAGATGTTTACAGTGTTTTGTTAAATTTCTGTTGTCAAAATTTGTCGGGTTTCTCTGTGAATTTTGTGTCAGTTGGTTAAATATGATTGCCTGTAATTACACTATGGGGGCAATTAAATATCCATACAAAATGATAACCCTTGTGGACTCTGCAACATCTACCAGAAAAGTTGATTTAAAAAAATGTATGACTAAGATAAATCATAAGACCACTTACTGCAAAAGTTGTGTCATGAAGATAATATAGGCCTAGTCTAAGACAAAGTGATGTTTAGCAAGATCTAAACAATGACTAAATTATTCAATTAGCAGAGAAGACAAAAAAATGTTATAGAAAATGTTAGATCCATTATGTCATTATTTATCCATCAAGTTAATGGTTAAAGAGGCACTGCTTGATTCCATGGATACACATTGCTTGGTAACAGTACCAGGCCAAGATCCAGGTCAAATCTGAACAATCAAGCTCGCTCACAGGAAGTAAGCATGATTTGTGTGTATTTTTTTCAAGTAATAAAAACTGGATTGAAATAAATTTGAACTAGATAAGTTGAATACCATACTGTGGACTTTTAGGCAAATCAATAATATCTCAATGGGGAGAAGCACCCCCCACCATCACAAGTTACATAGTGCACCTTTAATGTGATGATGATGCTATTCTAGTAGTCAACAGGGAAACCATAGTCATTGAGAAAACCCCTTCTAGTGACTTCCAGCACTGGTTAATCTTAGAATATGACTGTGTTTATGTGGACTCTTAGTGGTCAACAGTGTATGAGCTATCTCACCTCTACATGGCCCGGGATTTGGCACTTACAGTCCAGCAATGAACCACTTTTAACCTACCCGGTGTTTATGCGACATGACCACAGCTGCCCCCCTCCCCATTCCTCTTCAACCCTTTGGGATGTCACCACTTCCTTAAGGAGGAACGCTGAGTAACCTGGCACTAACTGAGAAGGATAGGACGATGTGCGCTGCGTGAGGGGGTGGTTGAACTTCAGTGGGAGGGACTTGGGACAACAGTAACTCATCTTCTAGATCTTGCGACTGGATGTGCAAGCTGCCAGCCCTGAAAATAGATTGGCTGAGGGTATAAAGAGTCGAAAGGGAAGGCCCAGTCAGACAAGCTAAGATTGCCTCGGAGATAAACTACTAAAGCTATTAACCTTCTGAATCAACCTACTTTGATTTGATTTTGCTGGAGTTTTTCATTTGATTTTACTTGCTTGGAAGGACAGCTATCAACCATGATGAAGTACTACCATTGTCCAGTAGCTCAGACCATTGGCCCCAAGCCTTACACCCAGGATTGTGGAATCCCAATTACCTGCAAGAGAACAGCTGAGTTCAAGCCAACCCGCAATGTTCACTTCCCAAACGACATAGTGTTCCAGGACTATGTTCGACAGGGAGAGATAGAGAGGATCGGACTCTTCATCAGATCCAAAAGAGTTACTTTGGATACCATCTACCCCTCAGGTAATGACCAGCTCTACATTGAAACACTTTCACACACAATGCTTGATATGGTGCTTAAATTGAGGGGTCTGAGGGGAGAGTTTCTGGACAGAATATACTGCCTTCATGTTACTTATCTTTTTATGTTTTTACTTTTTGGTCAAATTGGTAAAATTTACTAAAATATGCCATTGCAAAATTTGTGAGCTTCAAGGGTAGATACAGGTGGCATTTGTTAATATGTTAAGGCATTAGGTTAATATAAGTTTTCTTCTCAAGTTTTTATTCATCTGAATAAAAGTGGCAAAAAAAATTCCATAGGTTAAGAATACAAATTAAAGACTAATATTTCTGTTTCTTTCAATTAAGGAATGGCCGCTATTCACGAGGCTGTCCTGTCTGGGAATCTTGACTGTGTGAAACTGCTGGTGAGCTATGGAGCAGACATCCACCAAAGAGACGAGGAGGGCTGGACTCCTCTGCACATGGCTTGCAGCGACGACTACCCTCACATTGCAAGGTGAGCAGCCTATAGAATTAATACCTTCAGCGTATGGACAATTTTTTGCCTTTTCTATAGAGTTGTCCACTTACACATTTTTAATTCAGTTTATTTTTGGCTTTGAGAAACATAACCTACACCAAGTCATGTGCCAATTTATCTTAAACTACTAAAAAAGCATTACATTACAACTTTCACACCTTGTTCAAAACCTATTAATGCACAGTTTACGTCACAGCGGTAAGGCAAGCTGGAGAACGATCTGCATGCATTCTTGCACATCACTGACCTGACACCACGCATACTGACATTACTGGGGCGGATTTTGTTTCTGCAGGTACCTTCTCTCTATTGGAGCAGACCGGAACCTTGAAAATGACTGTGGAGAGAAACCAGAAGATCTGATTGACCCAGATAGTAAGGAGCTGTTGGAGCTTTTTGGCCTCTCTGCAAATGACTGAAAAGGACTAGTTAATCTTGTGTTATAAACCACATAAAACCACTGCCAAGTTCTGAAGTTACATGGCGGAAAAGGGCGGACAGCGCCACCATTGATCAGCATCCTGATTTTGCAAGCTTTTCCGATCAAGAATTCAGAAAATTGAGGGAGAAAAAGCAGTGATGGAGAAAGGTTGGTCAAGTGAGAGGCATAAACTTGCCTCCAATGGGGTAGAGCCTCAGTTATTTTAACACCGCAGTGAATCTACCATGGTATCTGTAGCAGGTCGGCATGTTGTGTAGGACTTAGGAAGGCTTTGAATGTTGTGAAACGCGATGCTGTTATGCTCATTTGGTTCTTTTTCTGAGCTAGAAATAGCAAAAAGCATAAATACTGTTGTCTGTCTTAAGGGTCAATGTGTTTACAATGTAAAAAATGTGTGCAAGCATGTTTTTCCTTTGTGGGGACTATATCATTTTGTATACAATTTTGTTTTGACTTGACTGTTTTGCTGTAATCTACCATTCCTTTTTGTAATACACTTTATATGTTTTTAATAAATAAATATAACAATTATTAAAACTGTTTGTTCATTTTAAATGAAACATTTAAACTTGCTGACCATGTAATCCCATTTCAATAGATAAAGAAAACAAATAATGTTTAAAACTTTTTAATAAAACATGAATAGATTAGTTGCCAGAATATCATCCACATGAAAAGATTGAAATACAAAAACAAATATTTACAGACAATACACAAAATGACCACTTCTCTGCCTCATTCTTTGAATTTCCACTCCTGTCTGCACATGGGGCACTGCTGCTGAACCTGCTGTGAGTTCAGCCACTTCAGGATACAGTGCATGTGAAAGCAATGAGAGCACTGACCCCAGACCAGCGGGCAGTCATCCCCAGGGACTTTGCCTAAAAAATAAAGAAATACTTCCTAATCAAAATTATTATTGGGCCTTTACATCATACAAAGCTGCACAAAGGAAATACAGAATTATTTGCATGCACTACAACAGATTTAAATTGATGCCCTACCCTATATTACAAAATAGTGTTTCCACTTGTCACAATACTAAATGTCAATCTTGATTGGAATAGACATTTCAATACCGCAATAATAACCAAACTGCTAATTTTTAAACAACAATGCATTTTTATACCATGTGGTCTAAGTAAAATATAAGTTGAAAATAATTCTAAAACTTCCCAAAGAAGGTAAAACTGTAATTAGCATCAGATGTTTAATTCTTTTGACAACCCTAATTAATGTCTGATTATTTAAAGCTGTTATTTTCTGCTTTTTCGCTGCTTAGATACATTAGTTGACATGTTATTTATTTAATTTCTGCTGTTGTTGTAACCGAGGAAAGGAGGACAGGGACAATGAACTCTAAAACTAACCCAGAGCTGCACATCCAACCAGGAATTGCGGAAAGTCCATTCATTGATGAAACCAAAACAAAAGTGCTAGCAAAACCAGCTGATTACTCACAGTCAGGACAGCAGCCATTGAAAGGCATCCTGCAAATGCCACAGTTTTCATCGTTCGCCACCCACAACCACGAAGCCACGCCGTTCCACTGTCGGATCTTTACCTTCATTGTGTATAATCCAATTCTAACCTGGAAAGTACCAAAAACATCTCAGACTGGTACCTGAACTAGCAACTTTTAGCTAGCTGCTGAGAGCTATCCAATCTATCGTGCCTTTGTTTACCTACCTCGCCGAGTTAAAAAGCCACCGAAATACAATCTATTAATTTTAAAACGTTCAGGCTGCATGAACTCAATCAAAACCTTAAGAGATTTTAGACAATTTCATGTCTCAAATGTAATGTGTCTGTCTGCATAAATAAGTTTCTTCTTTGGGGAAAAAAGTAGCCAAGAATAGTTTTAACCACGCTGTCCTGCCCCCTACAGTAACATAAACGGCAACAACTAAACAATGAGAAATGCTATTTGAAATAAAATTTTCACCTCAAGAAAAAATCATATTTTCCCCAAGAATATACCTGATAATCCAATATTTACTATTTTTGCTAATATATTAGATTTCATTGATAATCAAATGCCATTGTCTATAATGACCACGAGATGGCAATCGTTTCTCTGAGAGATTATTGTATTTTTATGCTGAATAAATGAGCAAAATATAGTGTTAAGATTTAGTGTAAGATTTAATAACACACACACACTGGTGTTGTTAAAACAATATTTAAACAGAATACATAAAAAAAATAAAAAAAAAAGAATCACTGGGAAGAGTTGTAACCCCGTGATCTCATTCTACTTCCGCAAACTCTTTACGTCACGTCCGTCTCTTTCAACATCGCGCCACCGCCGCTCATAAAGGGTTTTTGTCAGACGCAAACTTCATTGTTCAACTTTGGATCATCGTGAAATTCAAACTCCACGATGTCCGACAAAATAAACATGTCCTTGGATGACATTATCAAGCTAAATAAGAAAGGAGGCTCTGGAGGAGGTGGGCGCCGCGGACCGTCCAAAGTACCACAGCGGGGAAGTTCAGGGCGAACCGGCGGCCGACCGAACAACACTTTCAGGCGGAACAACAGGCCCGCACCGTACACAAGGGTAAGATACAACTACTGATCAAACTCTATTTATCTCTCACTGTTACACTCAAAATATAACCTTGTTTTGTGTCGAAAGTAAGTTAGTTTTGTTCATAGCCCCACGAACGACTTGACCATGTATTGAAAACACGACATTCTGTATTAAAACGGAACTGGAAACACGTGATAGCCAAGGTTGAGCTCGTCAGTACTTTATTGACCACTTTAAACGTCTGAAATTTAGAAAACGAGGTGGCTTACTAAACCAAAATGGCGGCGTGTTGTTTGAGGAAGGCCATTATTACTCATCAAAGTGGCTTGTTTACCAGTAGTGGAAGCTCACCGTTGATTCTACATATTTATTAGTACAGAAGTGATGAGGATATGAATTGTCTGTATTTCTGCGGCCATAAATCGAGTGTGTTTATCAAATTGCACACTTATCTACTGAGATGATAAGAAATTAAATTTAAAAAAAAAATGTCTTTGTCTTCGTGTTCAATTGTATGTTTCAGGCACATTCATACTGAGATGTTTTTTTAACAGGGTGGTCTCGTATGCATGTGAATATGGTGGAGCCTCTCTGCAAATGCTAATGTCCTTCACTTTCACAGCCAAGAGAACTACCAGACAAATGGCAGCATGACAAATTTGAAGAAAGTTTTGGTGGCTCGAGGAGACAAGTTTCTGCAGGAAGAGCTGTGGAGAGTGGCTGCAAACTGCTCATTTCCAATCTAGACTTTGGTGTTTCTGAATCAGATATCCAGGTAACTGTTACTCATTGGCATTGGTTTTCATTTTGTGATGTCTAAGTGTTAACGTTTGAATATTGTGTTACAGGAGCTTTTTGCAGACTTTGGGGAGCTGAAAAAAGCATCAGTACATTATGACCAATCTGGAAGGAGTAAAGGAACAGCAGAAGTCATCTTTGTAGATAAAGCAGATGCCTTAAAAGCAATGAAGCAGTACAATGGCGTCCCACTTGACGGTGAGGACCTCTTGAAATGGACATGTGTTTTGGGTACTTTGAGCATTTGTGATGCAATGTTGAATTATTTTAGGTCGACCAATGAAAATCCAGCATGTGGTGGAGGCACAAGAAGAAAGAGTTGCATCAAGGTAAATTGGGAATGAAGTACTCATAGATTTCATTTTGTTGTACTCACTCTGATTGAAGATTTGTGCATCTATAGAACCAATTAATCCAAGTTAAATAAAACATGGGAATAATTTCCATTATCCATGTCATTTAAAGCTTTTCCTCAAACCTTCTTTTTCCACAGAGGCTTTGACAGAAGCAGACTCGGGCAGGCAAAATTTGAGAGGCCTGAGAGGAGGCGAGGTGGTGGTGGAGGAACTGGTCGTCGCGGAGGTGGCAGTAGCAGCAGAGGTGGAGGACGCAGTGAGAAAAAACCACAACTTTCAGCAGAAGAGCTCGATGCCCAGTTGGATGAGTACAATGCCAAGGTAAGAGCCTAGAAATGGAGGTGCTTGCAGAAGTAGCAGTATTAGCATTATTTAATTTTATTATTTCATATCCCTGTTCTATTTAAATGTACTATCTAGTTTGTTTGTTTTTTAAGCAATTTACTCACTTTTCTGCTTTAGCCTGTGCCCTTTTTATTTTATCATAATTCATATTTACTATTGATTGTTTTATGTTGCACTTACCAGAAGTTTGAATTGTGTTCTCTGAAAATGGCATTAATAATATTTTTTAACATGCCCTTTTTCTTTTTGCAGTTCCAGATGGACACCAGCTAAACTCACTCAGGAAAACCTTTGAGCAGTTTTTACATTTTACTTTTTTAATCTTTTTATTTGGGGGGTCTTAGATTTTTGTACATAGTTCAGATCTATTGTATGTGCACCACAGATATTGTATATTGATGGTTTCCATGGATGTTTATTACTCTTGTTTTACAAGCTCTTTACTATTAATGTGAATAATTGCAGTAAGCATTATTTTACCATGGTTTTTCAAGTGTTGTGAAGCAGGGCTGTATGGACTCATGAATGCCATTGTAACTGGTTGTATTTGTGACTCATGTACATTTTTATTTTTTTTTTATTTT